TTATCAGGAATAGACAAGGCCTGCAACAGGCCTGGATACGGCACATTCTCATGTTTGCATCTCTGGCATACCTCACAAGAGCTGACAAACTTGGCCACATCTTGCTTCATCCCTTCCCAATAAAATGAGCTCTTTAGCTTCTGATAAGTCCCTCTCTGACCAGAGTGCCCTCCCAAAGCAGTGTCATGTACTGCCTTGAGCAAGGAGTTCCTGATATGGTTGGCTGATCCCACAACCAGCTTCCCTTTATACTTAATTATCCCATCTATAACCTGATAGTCACTCTCAGCTTGTGAGTCCAGCAAGCACTGAGCTATAACAGATTGCCATTTGTCATCCCCTGCATAGCTACTACATAGATCCTTCATCCACTTGGGTCTAACTGCAGAGAGTGCCAGTATAGAGTGTTCTTGTTGATTTTCCTGGGCATAGCAGACCTTCCTGGATAGAGCATCTGCAGCATTGTTATCACTTCCTTTCTTGTATTGTATCTCATAGTCCATACCCAGCAATTTAGTCAACCACTTGTGTTGCAAGGGAGTGGTCAGTCGTTGTTCCAATAAGTACTTCAGTGACTGGTGATCAGTCTTAACAATGAAGTGATGTCCAACCAAATAGTGTCGCCACTTGGTCACAGCTAACACTAGAGCCATTAATTCTTTCTCATAGACGGATAAACCCAAATTTCTAGGTGAGAGTGCTCTACTGAGATAAGCTATTGGGTGAGAATCCTGCTGTAGAACTGCCCCGATACCTCCATTGCTAGCATCTGTTTCGATTACAAATGGTTTCTCAAAGTCTGGTAGCCTTAGGACTGGGGAAGAGCACATGATTTGCTTCAGTTCTCGAAAGGCAGCGTCTGCTTGCTCATTCCAGCAGAAGCTATCTTTCTTGAGTAAGTTTGTCAACGGTCTGCATATGATGCCATACTGCTTGATGAATCGCCTGTAGTAACCAGTAAGGCCTAGAAATCCTCTCAAGGCCTTAACTGAGTTGGGTGTAGGCCAATTTAGTACATCCTTTATCTTCTCATCTTCCATACTCACTCCTTCTGATGAGATTATGTGCCCCAAGTATTCAATCCTTTGCTGGGCAAAAGAACATTTAGATAGCTTCGCATAGAGCTGGTTTGCCTTCAGTACTTTTAACACCACCTCCAAATGCTGTACATGCTGGTCCCAGTCCTTGCTATAAACCAATATGTCGTCAAAAAATATTAATACAAACTTGCGTAGGTAAGGCTGAAAAACCTGATTCATCAAAGCCTGAAAGGTGGCTGGTGCGTTGGTTAACCCGAAGGGCATCACCAGAAATTCATAATGTCCTTCATGGGTCTGAAAGGCAGTCTTGTGCACGTCCTGGACTTTGACTCGCACCTGATGATAACCAGCTCGCAGGTCTATCTTGGAGTGGTACTTAGATCCTCCCAACTCAGCTATCAGCTCCTCAATGTTAGGGATAGGGTATTTGTCCTTAATAGTTAGTTTGTTCAGGTGCCTGTAATCAACACAAAAACGCCAGGTTCCATCCTTTTTTTTAACAAGCAGCACAGGTGAGGCATAGGGACTATTGCTGTGTTTAATGATCCCACTGTCTAGCATTTCCATGACTTGTCTCTCTATCTCAGCCTTTTGTGAGTGTGGATACCTATAGGGCTTGATTTTGAAGGCATGAGCATCAGCCTTAAGAGGTATGGAATGATCCAGATTCCTCTCAGGTGGTAACCCTGTAGGAGCAGCAAAGACCTCTCTGTACTTATCCAATAGTTCCTTTACCTCTGCTGGTGTGTCGGTATCTGGGCTCCCTTGCTGGAGCTCAGATGTTAGGTTGTAACAACTGTGCTTGTAGTTGATGTAGTCTCGTAGGTCCTTATTCCTCAATAGATTAAGTTCAGCCTCCACTACACATCCCTGCAGGATCACTTCTTCTGCTTCACTGTGAATAGCTATATGTAGTTTGTGGAAATCAAAGGTGATGGGGCTATAATGGGTCATCCAATCCACTCCTAAGATCATGTCCCACCCTCCTAGCTCCATAATCCTCATGTCAAAACAGAATTTGTGACTGTTGGTGGACCATAGCACTTTTGGACACTTGGTGCACCCTGTCACACTCGAACCATCTCCAATGACCACCGTGAAAGGATTAGTGACTTCATATGGTAATTCTAGAGTTCTGACCAGATGTTGGCTAATATAGGTTTCTGAACTACCTGTGTCTACTAAAATGTACACAGGAAAGCCTTTGATTTCTCCTCGGAGAGTGATTGTCTTCCTCTTCAACGCTTCCGAGAGTGTATGTAAGGATACATCCATCAATTCCCCTGGGTTGCCCGTTTTTTCATCTTGCTCCCCTACCGCATCTAGGAATTCCCCTTCGTCTTCTTCCTCGACTACCATCATATTCAGCTGTCTATTCCTACACTGATGTCCGGCACCATAACGCTCCCCACATTTAAAACACAGTCCATTGTTCCTCCGAAACTGAATCTCCTGTGGAGATATCCTCCTAGTTGGCGTGGCTTCATTATTTTCATTTTTTAGCATACTAGATGGTGGAACCTTATAGGCATTGGAAACAGCCGCAGTGTTCTTAAACAGGCCAAACTTGGGATCAACAGGTGATTTTGTTATTAGCTTAGCAGACTTTTGCTGCAGTTTCCAAGCTTCCTCCTGCAATCGAGCTAATTCCATCGCATCCGACACTTTGTTTGGTTTCAACATTTTTACCATGGTTTTAATTTCCTCTCGCAATCCACTAATAAAACTTGAAACAAAGTATGATTCAGAAAGGTGAGGATTCTTTACCAGCATTAGTGATTTCAATTCTTCAAACTTTTCTTGGTAATCCTCCACAGTTCCGGATTGTTGCAACTTATTGAAATCCTCCACCACATCGCGCGTGCCTTTTTCTGCAAATCTCTCGCTGAGCATGTTGGCAAATTGCTGCCATGACAAATCTAGAAATTCTACCTTGATGCCTTGGTACCATACATCTGCCTTATTGTCAAGGAACATTTCGACTACCTCCATCTGCTGCTCTGGTGGAATTTGGTAAGTTATGAAGTACTTCTGACACTTGCGAAGCCAGATGCGTGGATTCTCTCCGGCGAACAAAGGCAATTCGATCCTTGGTGGATTGGGTAAAAATACCTTGGGAGGTTTGACTCTTGAGCATTGACTGGTGCCAAACTCCGGTTGGAGCTTCGTGTGTGGTGGCGGCGTGGGTAGAATGGGGGTTTTCTCTAGTTGAGTTGCTTCCTCCCTTTCTCCATTCCTTTCTCTGGCCATGATCTGAACCAAGGCATTGAGTTTCTGGTCCATGCCGCCGATCATTGTTCTCATTTCCTTGTTGGAGTTCTCCATTTCCCCTCGCAGCTGCTGTTGAACTTCCTGCTGGTTTTGCTGAAGAGAGAGGATTGATTGCAGAGCTTCCTGCAATCGAACTTCTTGTTTCCGTAGTTGATCTTCCATATTCTTGAAGCGGGTGCCTTCTGCCATTGTGATGAGCTGCAATAATCCGAGGATTCGCAGCTCTGATACCACTTGTCAGGAATTCAAGTAGAATTCCTGAGACTGAGATGTCGTAGGCGCAGGGAAGAGAGGAAGGAATTTAGGAAGAATAAGAAATGAGGAAGAAGAGTAAAGTGAGAAGAAATTGGGGGAGAAATAAGAATCAATTTGTTATTCTGCTAATAATGCTCATCTCGTGTACTGAGCTCCTTATAAGGAGATTAGCTAGCTAACCGTCTACTAACTAACTGAGCTGCTGACATCATTAGTTCTAACCACCTGAGTAACCAACCTAACAGAAACAGATATAGGTATTTAATTTTCACTAATTACACTTAAGTCCTTCCATTCCTGACAAGGGGGTCCACTCAGTTTCCAACCCCAATGCAGGTCACCGTTTTTGCCGGTAATTAAATCCCTCCAATTACGTGCCTGTGTAAGAGCGGGCTAAATGGAAGTTAGCACCTCAATCTATGATCTTATATCAATTTGCTCCCTTGTATTATCAATTGGTTAAATAACCTTTAGACTATCGAACTAATTCATTTAAGATCCTGTCCTTGATTGTTTTTAATCAGTAATATATAGCTTTATCTTTGAGGCTCTGAAAGATTTATGGGATAGGGTTGCGTACCTCTTATCCTCTATTCTTTGAAATTCTTCCCTTGTGCCAATAAAATCTTAATAAGTTATTATATATTTTCATTTGCTTTTGACATCATCTTAAGGTCTACACTAAAAATTTTTCATTCTAAAATGTTGACTTGTTGAGGTGCCATTAGAGACAAATTTAGACTTTTTTCAACACTTTTAATTTTTAAACATAAATTAAGAAAAATTAAGCTTTTAGTTATTTTTAATTTTTTTTAAATCATTGCAATCAACTCAAAAAAGCTTAAACAATCATGTAGAATTGCTATGAAGATTATACCCAAAGTCAGGTAATGCATTCAATACCTTTTTATTACCATTGTAAACTTTTTTTTTTCAAAAGAAAAATTATATTTCAAACCCATATATATTCATGTTAGGTGCTTTTTTATTTCTTCATTAACTTTTGTAAAAGATTTGTATGTAGACTTATTTGATACTCATTTCAAATATTTTTTTTAACCTATTGAGTTACAAAACTTAATATTGTATTCTATAACATTATTTTCTTTTCTTTTTTGAATCTACAAATGTCCGCCTACCACGTACTATTGTAGGAACAATCTTAACTTTCATCTGATTGTTTTTTCAAAAATATACCAAATAAACATTTACGACCATTTGAATGCAAAATAAATCATTAAAATGAATTTTAATGAAGATGGTGAAACCAACGGGAGGGAGCACGATATTGTGGGGAGGTGAGTGACAAAACTAATAGTTTCGTGGGTCAATACGAAAGAATGTAATAAACTATGGGGGGACAAAGTTAAATACCCAAAAGTTAAATGATAACGTTGATTATTAGTGCTGTTAAATAATCTTATTTCAGCATCCAAATCGTTAGCGAATACGAGGTAACCCAAAAAAGAGATCCAAATACGAGCGAATTATTGCACGCGCCACCGTCATTGAAGTTGACAGACGATGGAGCAGCCGAGCAAGGACGGAGTAGGAAAGAAAGAGATAGCGGAGGCAGAGGAGAGGAAGGGTTCGGGTCAGGGAACGGATCCGAGTTCGAATCCGGATGCAAAATCAAGCGAATCGAATGAAGAAGACAGAAATGAAAAACAAAATTTGGAAAATAATGCTAGTAGTAAGAGTAATGGTATAGTAAATGAGAATATTAATAGCAATAAATTCGATAATAATGACAGCGAGAATAATGAGAGTGGTGGCGGAAGTGGAAGCGATAAATCGCCGAGTCCGTTAAATAGCAAGTTGAAGAAATCGGTGCGGTGGAGCGAGGATTTGGTGTCGGAATCGCCGAGGCCGAGGTCCAGTACGCCGTCGTATTCTGAAGAACGTAGCGGATCCAATCCCTACGTCGCTTATTCCGCCGCTCCTTCCGATAGTAATTTGTCCTCCATAGATATCAAAAGTAAGATCTGTTATCTTTATCTTTTTCCTTTTTAATATAATGTATATTACCTTTTATCATTTTTAGCAATTTGGATAGGAATATTTGTATTTATGTTAAATTGATGTACTTGAATATGCATTTCAGGAACCTGATCCTGGAAATGCAATAACTAGGGTTAATTAGGATGGAGAAGTTATTTTTTTAATGAATTTTTGGTTAAATTAATTGCTCAACAAGCAATTAATTGATTACGTATGGTGTTGATTTTGTTGAATTTGTGTACAGGTAAAATGGAGAGTGCAAAAGATGTGTTGGGGAGATGGGCGAGGAATGTCAAGGAAGCAACAAAGAAGGCGGAAGACCTGGCGGGAAACACTTGGCAACATTGTAAGTAGATTGTCAGCTTTGTTGATCTTGTTCTAGGTTTTATTTTTGTATTGTACCACTAATTGTGTAGTTTAATTATATCTTTTTGTATGGGTTCATGTTGGTTTTTCTCTGGTAAATAAAAATTCATTTTCTATACGACTTATCAAATAGCCCTAGAGCCAGAGGTATTGAGGTTTATGCTAACGCATGTGCCCATGCAAATGCATGATGGATGCTAATGCAAACATGTTTAAATCTGTGAAGTATGTTAAAAAAGAAAAAAAAAACTCTGGAAAATTAAAAAGATGGTGAACTTTTTTGAGAGAGAAAATAATGCACACAAGGCAACCTGAATGGTGAGACGTGATTCTTGTGCAGGAAAAACATGTTACAATAATTAAAGAAAATGAAAAGAGAGGAGAAAAAATATCTAAGCGTTTTTTTTAGATAATTTACTAAAGTTTTATTAAAATATTAGTTAACGGTTAATTACTTGAGAGATTTATCTACTTTTGTTATGTACTATTATGCTCTCTGCCTTGATTGACATGGCTTTTCATTGGAACTAAGATGCCAAGCTTATCTCATATGGTGAATGTTTTGTTGATTTATTTCTTTTCCACCGATCATAGGAAAGAAGGTAACTTCAGAAAATGGAAAAGATATTCAATTCCATTTTATTGGTCAGATAGTATCTCAATGAAATTATGCATGTTTATCACATTACCTTACTTATTATGTTTCAAATTTTAATGGTCTCTAGGACCATTTTGGGCCAACTATAAGGGTTCTGAGTTGATTTTCTACTGTCTCTGTTTATTTTCTCATACAAGCAAAATTGAAATAACAGGATAGAAGTGCTTCCTCTCATTTCTATGGTATGACTTTTCTTGATTTTTTCACCTTGAAGTGGGTTTCTGGAAAGAAAAGGTAACTAAAAGCACTGCCTTGGAAAAAAATCCAAGTTGCAAAAATGTTAATAAGACGTTCAAGTAGTCCATTAGATAAATCATTGTTTACGGTCATAAAATATTAACAGTGAAACTATTCTAGTTTCAAGCATGTACCCTGAAGTTGTTTTTGACATGGAAGATGATTCTATATATAAGACATTCAACCAGTCCATTAATAAATCATTGTTTATGCTCATAAAATATTAATAGTGAAACTATTCTAGTTTCAAGTATGTGCCCTGAAGTTAGGTTTTTGACATGGAAGATGATTATATATATAAGACATTCAACTAGTCCATTAATAAATCATTGTTTATGCTCATAAAATATTAATAGTGAAACTATTCTACTTTCAATTACATACCCTGAAGTTGTTAGGTTTTTGACATGGAAGATGATTATATATATACAAGGACAAAGGCCTCTAGGTTTTACCACTGAAACTGCTAAAGTATGTTTTTCTTTTTTAATTAGTGAAAACTGGCCCCAGTCTTGCTGATGCTGCCCTGGGAAGAATTGCACAGGGAACTAAGGTTCTGGCTGAAGGTGGCTATGAGAAGATATTTCGTCAAACTTTTGAGACAGTTCCTGAAGAGCAACTTCAGAATTCATTTGCTTGTTATTTGTCCACATCAGCGGGGCCAGTGATGGGTATTTTATATGTGTCTACTGCAAAGCTTGCATTTTGTAGTGACAATCCTCTATCTTATAAGTCTGATGATAAGACTGAGTGGAGCTATTACAAGGTACAATAAAACCAGTTTTTTAGCAGAAAACAGTTTCTCTATGTAATTCTATATGTAAAATCCGAATGAACCTCATTTAATATGATTTATTAGATCATCTCTGCTTTGCCTTAGTGGATATTCTCCTGCAATCTGACTGTGTTTTACCATGAAGATCAAGTTTATCACCCACTATCTTGGTCAGTTGGTATTTGTAACAGACTAGTATTTCAGATTCTTTTGCATGGTCATAGAAAATATTGGTCATAAAGAGTTTAAATCACAAACTCAACCTAGGATATCCAATATGAGGGGAGAATCTATTAATTTCTGCTGCGCTTCCTGTGTTCCTGTATGGGTAAAAATGCTTAGTAGCATCTTTCAACAGGTGATAAAAGACTTGATGAATAGTAGTATTTTCCTAAAACACTGAGTTTGTTTGGATGATTTATTTGAGATAATTACTGTAGCACTTTTTATGATATGATGTATGTGAGATAAAAAGATGATTGGAAAGATAAAAAGGTGATTGGGATTTGTAAATTATTTTTTTTCAAATCATTTCAATCCAAACACACTCACTATCTCAATGATATATTTTGGTTTAGCCGCTAAAACACCCCAAAAAATTAAAAAAAAAATGTTGAGTATGGTTTATCTCAAGAGTAAGTCAAGCTTTAGATAAAAGTCAAAAGGTATAATGATGTGTTCAGAGTGTATTCGTTGTTACTTTCAGCACCTTTGATATTTATTGAGTTTCACAGTGCATGTCATTGGATCATTTTATAGTTGTTTTCTGTCTTCCTGGCATAGTAATGCATTATGGAGCACAAAGTGGTCACTATTTATCTTAGCCAGTAGAACTTCAGGATAACTCTGAGGCTTGGTACATTACTTTTGGTCTGTGTATGACAGCATCCAATTTGAGATTATTATTGTTATTCGAGGTTTTCTGATCTTGGCAGAACTGTTCGTGTACCATGGATTCTTCGTGTAGCAAAGGGTTTTTCATTAAAAAGCATGACATAGTTGCTGATGTAAATTTTGGCAAGTTATTTGAATTCCGGATATTTTTCAATAGCCTTGCCTTCTCATGACTTTACATAAATTCACTATAAATTAAGATGCTGTTGGATATATTAGATATGATCTCTCAAGTATCAAGTAAATAACACTTGTATTATAGATTCCCAGATAAAGCAGGCTAATTGAAATTGAAAAATGACTATCTAGGGTGATGTTATAGTTGTTAAGTGGAAATTGGGATTTTGAGTTGCATGTTGTTTTAGATGCGAGTGGAAATGGGAAATGGATATATCAACTCAACAAAAGCTATCTCCTATACCATAAATGGTTGTCTTCTGATTATGCTCATATAGTTCTGTCTAACATGCTGATCATTAGTCACTTGACTATGCTCCATATCACTTGCTCATTAACCTTTGGTCATCCTCTTCCATATTTTGACCACTGATAGCTATCAATTCGATCATGTCATGTCTGCACCAATCTTCAATCCATCTTCCTTTGAAGTCTCCAGTCCATTGCAGCATTGTTGATCTTTAGCCAAAATATTAATGTTCCAAAACATTTTTGCCTATCATTGCCTAGGTAAAGCATATTTTAAGACTCTGAGGGTGCTTCGATGTTCATTTTTGAATTGGTTTTGTATCAGAGTACTTCATGGTGCATGTATTGGATTTTGCATTGACTCATTCGCTTACGTCTTATGCTTTGTCATATGGAAAATTATGAAGATACTGGTCTTCATTGGTTTTTGACCTGAACACAGTTCTTTTTGGAAACATTTTTTTTAGGAATCCTAATATTATGGGAATTCTATTTAAGTGCATAAATCTTTTAAGGTGCCTACTGTTAGTAGGTAGTGCTTCTTTATTAGGTATGGTGTTGTTCTACAAAATCTCAGGTGCTTAATCTATTAGATTAGTAAAGAATATTTGCTAATCGTTTCCTGTCTCTTTGATCTTCATGTCTAGGTGGTGATACCATTACATCAACTTAAAGCAGTTAACCCTTCATCAAGCAGAAATAATCCTTCAGAGAAGTATATCCAGATTATATCTGTTGACAACCACGAATTCTGGTTCATGGGCTTTCTAAACTATGATAGAGCTGTGAAGTGTTTGCAGGAGGTATTACAAACGCACCAGTTACAAGTTGTATGATACAAGCTGTATGAATTCTGCTAATTCTGTCAATTTTGAACTACCTTAAAGGATGTAGTCCATATATTCGGTTTCATTCTCAACTTGAAGTGGCTTTAAGAGACAAAAAGCTTAGTGTCTTTCAGAGGATGGACTCGTCTGGTAAATTAGAAGTGAAAAGCAGTAGCTACAGAACTTTTTTCATGGAATATTTTGTGAGGAATGAAACATCTGGGGTACATGAACCATATATTGTTTGCTTCTGGTCTGCATGACTCCAGCTGCATGGAACTACTCGTTTGGCAATCACTTTAATAGTATCAGGAAGAAACAGATATCAACCTCACAATCATTTAAAGGACTTGTAAGTTTTCAGAACTTCGATTTTGCAATTCTTGATGCGGTTTTGAAGCTCGACTGTTTTTTCTTTTCTAAGTTGTTAGATGTCACATGTACCAAAGCGACGTTGTCATCACACAAGAGGTTGGTGCATATATGTGACTGAGAAGTAATGCAGAGCATTGCATCCCATCAATGTTCAGCTGTTGCCATCTCTAAACCCAAACTCGGTGGTGCCTCTTTCGAAGGTAAACGATAATCAAGGATTCGCGGGGTACTTCCATTGCAGTGCAATTGTAGCTTTAGATTGTATTTCAGATGAAATTGTTCCTACTGTGTGAGGCATATAGGATTATCAATTCTGACATCTCGCAGACGGCCCACCAGCGTGTTATCCGTCCTCTGTTCTTTATCACGAGTTTTCACTTGAAGAGATAGCCCACCTAAATTCTGTGCCTCCAGAAATCTGGGATAGGTCCCGTTGGGATTGCTCGGCAAAAAAAAAAAACACAATTCTCTCGGGAAAAAAATAAATGACATGTTGAGTTCTGTCAGGGTTTTGGTGACTCATTTTATCAGTTCTTCATTATTTGTCTCTTTACACTAGTCTTTCTTACCCCCAATAATTAATCTGCAGAATCCTGGCGTGTGGATTCTCAAGTGTTCGTGGTCCATAAATTTAAAGCGTTTTTATCTCATGAACGTTGCACATCTAACTCTTAGCTATCCGTGATAATATATTATATCATTTAGGGAATACATGAAACCAGGGACAGTGGACATTTTAGTCGTTATTTCTTCTGTCCACTAAACTCCATTCCTCATTTCTTCATCTTTCCATAGAAACCTCCAGACCCAATACTCAATTGAGATGGTTCGCAAGTTGTCTAATCCTAAAGGATTTAGAATTGAATTTGTTTGCTCTAAAGCATGGTTTGACGTTTTGGATTGTTTATAGGGGCATGAAGTCATGGAGTCCTAAGTAGAACACAAAGCGTGCTTTAGGTGATTTGCCCTTATCTTTTATTTGCACGCCTGATTGTCCATCAAAGCTCTGTGTCTACCTTTGTCTCTACCTACTTTTTAACGTTTCTAAGCGTATCTTTTTTTTTTTCTTTTTTTTGTGGGGAGGGTGCTTGAACTTACATGTGAAAAATAGTCTCCTATATATGCCCTTTTGGTGTATGAAGTGACGTCATCCCACTTCCTCCATTTTTTTTGTACTCCACATTAACAAGAAAATTGTAAAGAGGTTAAGACAGAGAAGAAACACTGGAAAAAATTCCACAAAAAAGAAAAAAGAAAAAAAGGGTTTTGGTGTATTTCAGAATTTCTTGTCTTTACAAAATCATTTTCTTATCCTTGGATTGTTAAAAGTTCGTGGTCAAAAATTCAAAACTGATGACCACAGCAAATCAGGTAGTATATTTCTAGACGAATCAATATTTATTTTGTTTTTTGGTAAAAAAATAAAAGGAGACAGGCTGGTATTATAAATATCTAGGTCAAAGTTATGCTAATGAACTACAATAATGATAAAAAGGTGGGATGGGCAAATTATCGTGCGAATTGCAAGCAAAGATTTGTTGTATGTATATGGTCTGTTCGGATGACAAAGACTAGTTTCTGTTCGAGTGAAAGGTGGATGGTAGTGGAGGAAGCATTTGAGACTGTCAGCCCAAACATAGAAGTGTTTGATTCCTTGGCTTTGTGTGTAGCTTCCTCAAAACCCATACACATCACAAAATAATGATGGGGCCATACTATGCTAGACCACTGCAACTAACAAAATCTGATCTGACTGAAGCCTTCCTTGCTGCTATCCCTGCAACACTCACATGCACCAATTATTTAGACTTGCATCAAGTCAAATGTCACCCTCACCTTTGAAAAAGTTCTATTTTTTAGGAGCAAGATTATTGTGATATTGATGCATTATTTTCATTTGTCTAATACTACTAATTGTTTCAGAAATTGCAGGTGCACATAGAGAAGTTATTAACAATTTTGATGTTAACGACCAAGGAATTGGTTCAGTGATCTAAAAGGGCCAAAAAATGAAAAAAGAAAAAAGAAGGGTTTTGTTCAATGGCTAAGAAGAGCTAGGGCTCAAGCTGCTCAGTACGTATGGGCCAAACCTACTGATTCCTATTGCTACTAAAGTCAATTGCTACTAAGGTCATTTCCTTTGGACTACTGATTCCAATTGCTACTAAGGTCAATTCCAGAAGTACTCTTTGCCAGGGGCAAACATTTCCTGCACATGTTTTGTAACCTATCTTGTACCCAGCTACCTAATAATAGGCTAATATTCACTATTTTGGCATTCTTTAAACAACTAGTAGGTGAATTAGTGTAATTTGGACGAACATCTTTTGCTTTGCTCTCGTTAACAAGTTGAAAACCTAGCAGGTTCTCAAAGGCAGTGTTGAATGTCACTATGCCAAGTCTCTTGAGATTGTACCCTCCATTCCATAATCCTCCAGAAAAAATATTTGCCATAGCAGGAGAAACGTTTATATGGAGGGGATGCACTTGTTTGTATTGACGTAGTATCTCAAATGTGCTTAGAGATAAAATAGATAAAGTGCATTCGTCGAACGAGTTCGGCTTGATTGTAACTCAGCTTTCGTGAGATATAAAGTAAATTAATGCTACTTGTTTGTTAGCTTGCTTTGATTCAAACAATCAGAATTACTCTGTTTTTCTAGCTAGCTACCTTAGATATGGAGACCTGAGATCTAAAAATAAAAAGAAAAGAACATACAACACGAGCAATGATGAATAGAAGCTTTCTGGAATAAAGCAATGCAGCTTTGTCCTCGTTACATGCATCGTCAACCAAACCACTGTTATTGGTGGGCCATTAAATCTCTCTCATTTTCCCTGTTATCTCCACCATATGGGATTGCATGCCAAATGCCCCCTGATCTGGTATGAAAAATCAACCATGTAGGGTTATTTATGTTAACATCCATCCCGTTTGAGATTTGTCATGATTGCGGTTATAATCTTTATCACCCTTTGCTGTTTCTATTTGTGCTGTCAATTTTCCCCGTAACACTACTATTGTTACACTGCACCCAAAATTTTATTTCAGACACGTTACATGTTAAAATTGTATTCCAATCTATTAGTATTTTAGATGTTGGCCAGAAAGATCTTTTTAAAGTCCTTATTGTGTACCGGTTTGAGGGTTCAAGCCTCCCCTGATGCATGCATATATGAGAAGGTTTGTTTGGATTGAAATTTTTCAAGAGTTTTTGAAAAGAAATCATTTTAATACTTTTTAGGATGTGATGGTATAAGAGACAAATATGTGATTTAGAAACGTATAAAAAAAAAATATTCATTCAGAATGTAGAATATTTCTGCAGAAAATAGCAATCGAATCAGGATCTTTTCGTTCTCTTAAAAACTCTCTTTTTAAATAATTTAGAGAGAGTTGGATTGGGTTCCCCTTTTCCCATAGTTTGAGAGTAGGTAAAATAATATATTGATGTTTGAAGAAAAATCTATTATTTTAAAATCACTCATCTTTTAGTTACTAACCGTTTGGAATTGCCTAGAGATACAAACAATAATATGTGCACTTTCAATGCAGGCGTACAATTCTCATCTAATTTTATTGACAGTGTATGCTTATCATTGTAGTAACTTGAGACCTTTTGATAATCCTTGGGCACATAACACGGAAGAAAGAGAGAATATCAGGGCGCAAAACTGACAAAAGATATAAAGGTAAAAATAGTAAACTAATTAGGGTGCCTGGAATTTCATATGAGTCGTTTAACAGTTGTTACAAGTCATTTTTGTGGTAATAGTGATCAATAAAAAAAAGTTACATGTAGAAACAAGCAAATGGAGACAAGGACAAGAGCATATGATGGAGATGATGGTGAAAGAGGAGAGAATTGTGGGGACGGAGGCTGTGCCTGGGAATGGAAGAAGGATTGGAAATGGAAATCAGGGTCGCCCCCACTGATTTCTCGTCTTGTCACAATCATATATTGCCCTTTTTCCCCCTTATTCTCTCACTTTCTATCCTTTATCAACTGAGAGAAGGAAAAAAACACAGCACACACTGCTCCGATCTTTGTCTTTCAATTTACTGACTTATACCTGATGAACAACGAAACCCTGAAATCATCAAGAGTATAATTGCCCCAAACAAAAGATTTAAGCCCCTGAAGTATCGAATAAGATGGTTTTTGTGTCATCTTTCTTGTAAGCAAGTATGCATGCATGGAATTTGGTCAAGAACGATAAAGGAAACAAAAGTAACAGAAATGGGAATTGGGTCCTTGCGTGGTGTCCTTTAATATTTATTTTTGTCTCTGTGGACGATATGATGAACAGAATTGTATGCTGCTACATTGGTTTCCCTCCAGCTGACAGAGTAGTGTGTGTCCGTCTGTTGGGGTAGTGTGTGCTGTGATTGCGTGTGTGTGTGTGTGTCTGTGTGTTTGGTTGAGGGGCTGTGTATGTATGTCAGCATGTCTAGTCATATGTCTTTCATCCATCTCTCTGGTTGGCAGTCCAAGGAAACACATGAACCCCATTCTTTCTGTCTGAAAACAGGATAAAATTAGCTTCACTTTTAGGACCAAAAAAGATCTGTTTCATTGCTGAATATAATTACCTCTTTTCGATCAGTTTTAACTCCACATTTTTTTTGGATGGCCATTTTTAAGAGTTTTTGTAGAAAAAACGTATTATAGCGATTTGATACATGTGAGATAAAATAATTATTGATAAATATATTCACGAAAAATATAAAAATTTTTGAAAAAAAATTGGCTTTCCAAATAAGGTTACGAAAATGAACAATCAAAATTGGCTTTCCAAATAAGTATTTTTGTTAAAAACATACTATTGGATGATAGAGGTGCTTTTGAGATATTTGATGAACATCATTCCATAAATTTATCAGTAAAAATTAAAATACTGAAAGTGCTTTTAACAAAAACTCATATTTGGAACTTTTAATTAGAAGTACTTGTTCAAAAGTTTTGGGTCATTTTATCATAAATTACGAACTGGATAAGGACATAAATGCATCTCAAAAATTAAAA